TCAAGGTTTCCCACTCATTGTGATAAATGTAAAATCTGATCCTATCTGAAAAACTAAAAAACCTCACAGCAGTGGTGCTAGGCTTCTCAGCCAAAGGGAAGCAAACATATTTGAGGTGCTATTTTAAATGAAAACTGAAATTCTGATCTTCCAATAGCTTCTTCCATGAAAACTTGTGATTGGTTAATATGGAATGGTTAGATTATTTCTACAATGTAAATTATTTCTACAAAGAAAGCTCTGCAAATGAAACAATTAAAGTAGTATTGAAAGAAAAATCATCATCAGGGTCCAGTCCAAGCCGGGAATAAACAAAATGGAGACTGCTTAGGAAAGAAGGTTCAGTTTATTTAATTGCCAGAAACTTCAGCGACACAAAATTGCTGACAAAATGGAGCTGGGAGTGATGGGTTTTTATACCTTCTTGGGATTTTATGTTTGGAGTTGTTCCTGTTCCTGTGGTTTTGCATTTGAGGTTTTTCCTGTTCTTGTGCAATGAACTTTGACCTGAGCTTCAGTGTGCCCTTTTGGTATTCTAATGGTGGTGGGTTAATCCTATTGTGTCCTAAAGGTCATGTCTTTAGATTTCTGGGTGGGGAATGTAGATTTTAGGGACCTTTGTCTTTCTAATCCCATCAGCTCCAAGGTTCCTGGCCCCAGTCTTCCTGAATGAATCACCAAATCTGCATTTCTAAAAGCTGCTTTCTGCTTGGGGCAGAGAGATTGGGGGAGGAGTTTTCTGCCTAAATTTTTCTATTATTCCTTTCGGGAAATATAATATTCTGCCTTTTTAATATCCCCCCAAATATTTCCTTCTCTAGGAAAGGTGGGTGCAGACTTTTTACAGTAGGATTTTAAAAAAAACTTTTAAAATATTGACTACATCTGAGGAGGCTTTTAACACAAGATTTCAAATTAAATATCTTTTGGTTCATGTAACTTACATTTTTTAAATCCTCCATTTTTAAATTTAAAGACTTTATCAACCAAAGCTTTAATCTCCACCTTGAACATGTTTAAATCGTAAAAAGTAGTATTGAAACAATGCTATTTGTTTTTCTAAAATCTAATATAGCAACTGCTATAATTGCTATACGAAAGAGAAAAGAATACTCTTTTTGGACTGAAAGATTAAAGCAGAAAAGGGTTCTGTTTCACTGGGACAAATGAGAAGGTATCACATTTACTTTTAAACTGAAGATATTTTGAATGAATTCTGCTCAAAAAGCTAAAAAACATTCTTAGGAAAATTAGGAAGAGGTACACATAGAGATTTCAGAAGAGAATTGTACATTTAAAAATAATAAATGTCTAATGTGTAATATAAATAGCGCAAATGCTTCTCAAAAGAGATTTTTTGTCCATTATTTAAACAGATTAAAACAGGATATCGCTGTGTACAAGAGAATCATATTACTAAAAGGATAAAAAATGTTATATAAAAATTTTGGTAAATAATTACCTCAGCAGTAACAAAAAAATGTACAGACTGTAGTTAAAGGGATGGAGCTGACCTGAGAAGCTCTAAATTCAGTTTCTGTCCAACTGATCAGAAAGTTCATTGAGCCCTACCTACCTCTTAGGGTTTTTATTGCATGCTACCTTTAGTTCTTAAAGAAAAAATGAGATACTGATTAATTAATTACTAATTACTTGATTAATTAATTACATTTATTTATTGCCAAAGGAAACTTGAAACTGGATCTGGGGAGGAACAATCCAAAGATCGCATTTGAACAAAAGATATTTTTAAAGCATAGTTAATTTGGCCACTCTTTCTTGCATGAAGAGTCGAGTCATGGTGATCAGGCAGTATTTCCTAGTATACTTGCTTGTTATTCAAATATGGATTTTTTTCTCCTCCACCTCCAAATTGTTTAATTATATAGCAAGGAACATTATTAAAAATGCTATAAGGTATTTTTATGTCACATATTAGTAGTAATTACATTATTTTTATAGTGATTCATTTTGTACCAGTTATGTCAAATTATAAAAGTAGGAAAAAAAGTGCTTCATCCAAATGATAAGAATCAGTAACCACCCTCCATTAGCACCTTAAATCTGCTAATAAATATAAATAGATTTTATTTTGTTCAGTTTTTCATTTTTCTAATATTGTTCTGTAAAGTTTTCCACTTAGCCTCACAATTGTCCCAGCATTACTCAGGAATTTAAAAGAGCCAAAGAAACTCCTGAGCTGAGGTTTCAGCAAGCAAACAACTTTTATTTTGATCAAAATAGAGTTCGGTGTCCCCGTCTCTCTTCGTGGCTGGTAGAGAAATTAAGGCAACAACCAGGAAAGATGTCTTCCACCTTTTATACCTTTCCAGAACAAAGAGGTCAGGTCTTTGTATCAGGAACGCAAATGTACAGAAAAATAATTCCAAGATGATGACTCATACACAGCAACCCAGGCTCCATCCGTAACTCCTTTCCCCCCTCCCCTTACTGTGCTCTTTTCATGTAAGCAATCACCTGTACCTAAAGCATGAAACATTTGCTTCTATATAACTAATTTCCCAATATAAAGCACCTACAAAGCTTCTTGCACATAAACAAAGATATACCTGTATATATAATGATTGTATCTGTCCTCAGTGTGGAAGGGACTGCCACTTTCGAATTGGCCTTTTTAGCCACACCAGATGCTGTTTTAGGACCTCTTTCCAGAGCACGATACCATAGTCTCTCGAGACTGAAGGATACCAATAATATATAATGATTACAAAGTATCACTATTAATATCAATATTACTAATATCAACCTTAAGCATAATAAAATCCCTTCAGTTCATTCTATGCCCACTTTCATATCTATTTACTTTTTTTCCAGTCTGCATAAAAACCCAGATACAGGTCTATACACATTTTTAATATGCAAATATTTGTATTCTCTTTTCATGTTTACTCATTTTGCAAATAATTTTATGGCTGTTTTCCCTAAGTTCAAAGATAGTACTGCAACTTTTTTTATTTGTTCAAATAACTCAGTAAATGATTTTAAATGGTCATTGTTATGTATGAGAGTTAAAATTCAACAAAAACTATGGATAACAAAACATCAAATAAAAAAACTTTAATTCAATGCAAGTTGGGGAGAGTTAGGTGCCAACACCCATGACCGTCTTTTTTCTCTTCCAATCTTTCATAGCAGTTGTCTGTGAAATATATCTTAATTTGCTTCTGCCTTGATCATGGCAGATCTTACTGGGTCAGCTCAGTCACAAGCCTTCTAATGTAAGCTGTTTTTCATTTTCATCCTTGCTCATAGTGGCGTCACTGCTCTTTAAAACTCTTTCATACCTGTAATGGAGGACTCTGTCAATCATGCTGCTGGGCAGCAATTCTGCCCACAGACTGCTTATGAGCAGCAAGCAGCACTAGCATCCAATAGTGCAATTGAGAGATCCACAGGAACATTTAAGAAGTTACACTAATTTTTAGGGCAAAGTTAAGAGGTTCTTTACTGAGATAATGAAAGATGTACAAAAACCACTACGAGTCACGTGGTGCAAATAGGGTGATCTCATCCCCTATCGAATGAGTCATTCCCAAAAAGCCACTAGGTAATCAGCCTAACTCAAAGGATGCATCACAATCAGTTTTGTGCAGACAACCTAATTCTAGCCCTAGGCCTTATACTTTACCCACACATAAAAGTCCACCTACCTCTTTGAATAACTGGTAAACAAGGTAAAAACTATTGATAAGTACATATGAACTTTTACATGCATATTGCAGTCTGGTCATTAATTATCATAGACACATAAAACAACAGTTAACAAGATCATGAATATTGAAGGTGAATTTATATGTTAATATATAACTATAATTATGCTGATATAATAACAGTTTGGAAATTGTAAACTTATTTATTTTTCACATTTTTGAACTGTCCATCTCTCTCAGAGGTAAATCAGGTAAATATGTACAAAAATATGTTAATTCAATTAGTATCTAACCTATCTCTACATCTATCTGAGCACTATGACTTTTAAGGACAAAATATAGCCAAACCAACCAACTGCAAACTCAGTGAAGTAACCAAGTTTTCTAAGGATTCTAGTAGAACCAACATAATTTAAATGAGGTTGAACTACCACTGACCAATACTTAAAACTTGCAATTTATAACTTTTATAATTTTTAATTTGATTCCATCTCACACATAAGTGTGGAATTGGGAACATTGAAAATTGATCACTACACCTTACTTGAAATCTTTAGGATGATAAAGTCATCTTTTGAAAGTCAGATGTAACACCCAAGGTTGTCTATCAAATGCTATATCAACTAGGAAGGGAAGTAAACAAGATTGCATTTGTCTCAGCTTTTGTTTCAGATTAACAAAAAATACATGGTGTATTACTTTAATAAATGATACTTTGATTTTACAAGTTGCTCTATTCAGATGTTCTCCTAATAATAGACTGTTGGAGTGTATTATACAATAGAGCAGGAAGGTTGGCTTGGAAATAAGTTATAAAAAATTAAAATTGTGAGTTGTACCAGAGATGAAGTGCTGGCATGTAAATAGACAATCAAGTAGTTTTTAGGTTTCAAGAATTTATGGTGTTTTTCCATATACAGTATATGGTGGTAAGGTAACCACTCCTTTATTGGTCAAAATGCTTAAAAGAAGATAACTGTAATAATTTTTTTATGATCAAAAGAAGGTAGTTATATACAAGCAGCCTTCAAATTATTTTTGGCCCTGAAAGAATTGTTCTTATTTCAAGAGAATTACTGACAACTTGAATAACTTTCAAATAATTACTGCTATTGTGAGTGTGATTTTTCCTATTTTTTGCTTCTGAAAATAACTTGCCAACTTCTTTTCATTTCAATCTATCTTGAGATAATTAATCAGGATCCAATCTATAATTATTTATCATGGGGTTAAATATCATTTGTTAAGGACTATGTAATTTGAAATGTAATATTATTACTTTTTAAATGTATTAAAACATCTATCAATATTTTTTGTTGTTCATTTTAGGGAAGCAATGTTATGGAGGATCAGGATCTCTTGGAAATTGGAATACTTAATTCTGGACACAGGCAAAGAATTCTACAGGCAATTCAGCTTCTTCCAAAGGTATCCTTGTTGTTGTTACAATATCTGAATTCTTTCAAGAATAAAATAACTGATAGTGTACAGTGATGCCTCGGTACTCAACTGCTTCAAAACTCATCAAATTTGATACTCAACACATTTTGATGTGAAAATGTTGCCTCGATACTTGTTGTTTGTTTGGTACTCAACTTGCTGCAGTAGGAAAACAGACAGGAAGTCAGCCATGCCGGGAAGGTTGCTGCAGAAGGAAGAGGGTGATTGCTGTAGAGGGTGGACAGGAAGTTGGCCATGCTGGGAAATCTTAGTCTTCATCATATGTTAATATATTACAAAGTTCAAAATAAATCTTACTGTGGATTTTATTTTATTTTTTTAAAATATTTTTATTGTTTTTTAACATAGCAACCTTAATATTTGGTAAACAGTGTATTGTCTGGATTTATATTTAAAACAATAAGAATTAATTTCTATATTCCATAATCCACATAGTAGCTTTCCTTGATGTTTTCATCTTCCAATAATATTCTCTTTTACCAACCTTAAATTAGTACATTTCTTAGTATTTTGATAGATAAAAATTGAATATAAACATTTTTCTATACAAGTAACAAAAACATCAATATAAGGCTGTGGATTTTAGTGTAGCTATTTCCACTAGGCCATTTTGATTTGACATTGTTGTTTGCTTGAGTTTTGAATTTTTAGGCAGCCATATGTTTACTTTTCTTCATTAAAATGACTTTTTTAAAATCATCTTTTAAGAGAATCATAATAATGCTGCACAGTTCTAGTAACAATATCCTTATTACTAGGCACATGCAACTTAAATGTTTTATGATTTTAATATTTTTGAGATTCAGTGAAGTTGCATTTTTTCCAAATATTGTTGCTGTGCATTTACAGATTTGCCCAACGAATCCTTCCAATAGCTCATTTAATATCACTATGTCTTGCTTTCTGATGTACAAATATTCCTTGTCTTCTGTTCCAAAAATCTTAATTTTTTTATTGACCAATCTATGTGCAATCTTAAACAAAGGAAGTATTTTTCATCCTATTCTACATGTTCCCCAGATTTCAGTAAACTCCCTAATCCAAAAAAATAATGATTCATCAGATTTGCTGAAAATATCTTGATCTACTCAATATCTATTTGCATGATGAAAATTTTATTTCCACATGAAGAAAGGCAGGACAAAAGCTACTCCTTATTTATGTGCACAAATCTAGCACCATCTGAGGGGGGGGAGGGGAGGAAGGTATTAATATACTTGGAAAAACTTTTTTTAAAAAAAACACACATTTTTAGAAAAGATTTTCAGAAACAGCCTTATAAATAGATTATCCTGTAATTAGACTGACATTGTTTCTAATTATCAGCTCTTGTATTTGTTGTTAACATTCTGAACTTGATGCAGCTTGTTCTGTATTTCTACTCTCCTGGTTCTGTTTTTCCCATTCATGATAATGTGTTCTGTTTTTAATAGCCTTTCTATATTTTTAATATATTTTAAATAATTTTGTAATAATTTAAAAACTGTATTACTTTTAATCTAACTATATACCCAATGGTCTTTGCCACTAGATCTGTCACACTGGGGATACTCTGAATCCCATCAATAAAACAGCAACACCTGATAGGCCCCAGGAAGTGTGATTTCTCTATCATGGTGTCCACCTTATAGAACAAACTCCCCACAAGATGTGGACAGCCCCAATCCTCTTGGCTTTTGGGAAGACCTGGCTTTTACCTGAGGCATTGAAGCCAGGATGTTAATGGGGCTGTGGTGGGGAATTGGCTTTGTTTGATATGCTGATGTTATTTATTTATTTATTTATGAGACTTATATACCGCTTTAAGTGCAAGCACTCTCTAAGCGGTGTACACCAGTAAGCAATGTATATATATTTACATTGCCCCCAACAATCTGGGTCCTCATTTTACCTACCCCGGGAGGATGGAAGGCTGAGTCAACCTTGAGCTGGTGAGATTTGAACCGCTGACCTGCTGAACACAGTCAGCTAAAGTGGCCTGCAGTACTGCACTCTAACTGCTGCGCCACCTCAGCTCTTTATGTTATGTTATGACTTTTAGGGACCTTACCCAGTTGCTTTCAACTTGATTTCTATAGATTATGTTTTTTTTTATTTCTGTTTCCTACCAAGAGTTCCCTTGGATAAGTTTGTTTGCAAGGAAAAATAACACAAAGCTCTAAAATATTAATATTAATTAACATATATAAAATTCAACATTCCATATCCCAATGCTTAGTTTTAACAAAATCCTACCAAAGGTATAAAATGGTCCAAATATTCCAATGTGAACATAAAAAAAGAATACCAAAGTTTAACATGAGAAAAATAAACCATTTTTCTTTTGCAAAAGACAACATTGTATGCAACATTTCCCCATTCCAAATACCAACAATTCCAAAGAAAATTACTCCAAATAGAAATTTATCCATTCAAATAAACATTCCATAACTTTAAACTATAAACAAATAAAGAAAATTAAATTTAACAAAGAGTTATAATTTCTCCTTTAAAAAGATCACCAAACTTCCTTACTTTGAAAAAAGACAGTTAATACAAACCCACTTTGTGTACTATAAAGTTAGGATACAAAAAGTAATTATAGAGAAAAGAACAAACGCCTTATTAATTGTAAGCAATTCTAGCATACCCTATTTTTTAAATTAAAGATATCTGCAAATGCAAAAAGAGCCAGCCAGAATAATATGTCCTATTTTATTCCTGGTCAAATAAGCCAGCTTTGTACTCTTTTTTTCTTCTGTACAGAATAATCTTTATCTTTAATCCAGCCAGATGGTTGTGTGATCTTCACTGAAAATTTTTTCAATGCTTTAAACAGTCTCTCTTGCAAATCCAACAAAAAGCAATTATTTCAATTGACTTCTGCAACTGACATTTTTATTTCCTTCCTAATTTTTAAAACTGTTTCCGTTTTCTCTTTGTTCTTATTCATAGTCTCAGTCATGTTTTCCTTGGGTAAATTTTGTGCATATTTTGTTCTGTAACATTTTATTCTGGAAACATACTGTTTCCAAAAAGATGCAACATAGCTGACATAATTAATTCAAAATCCTGATGCTGGTCCTTGAAGATATCTTTGATCGCCATTTTAAGTTACTTGTCTTATTGCATCTCCAATCTCAAAAAACATTTCTCTTTCCTACAAAGATGCAATTACTTTTTAACAATACTTTAAAAGCCCAATATTCTGATGTTTTCTGAACCCTTAATTCATTTAAAACTTTTTGTAGCCAAAACCTTGCCTTATTTTTTGCTGTTTAAGTTCTTAAGGATTATAAAATATATCTTCATATTCCTAAATTAAGAATAGAAAGGGCTCACCCAGTTTTGTCTAATTTTTTTGAGGCAGTTAATAGATAATTAAAAGATAGCTAGCAAGAAAAGTGAGAGAACTTTGAAAAAGATTCCATTGGCAGCTGGAACAATTTTGACAAATACCCTTGTCTCCAAATCCCCCCTTCAGGATCACTGTCTTGTGGTTTCTTTGTGAGAAGCAACTGTAAGGAGCTTGGACAATATTGTAGCCTCTCTTTGTCCAGAGTGGATTGTACCGGTAGGAGCTGAATTACTCATCAGCCCTCTCATTTGTGGCCACAAACATCAACTGTGCTTTGCACAAGTTGTCTTCAATCCCATTTATCACAGGTTTCTTGGTCTTTCCTTTTCACTTGACCCACTCATTCTTCCTTCATATAATTGGTTGATTCATTCATGATTCCTTCATATATTTGATCCACATTTATTCTTTCTGTATGATACACTATCTTAGCAGACATTTGTACATTCATTTTTGTAGTCAGTCTACATTGCTAGAGTGCCCATTCATTCCTGACCATGTCTCTTCTTAATTAGTTTCTATTGAATTCACGTTATTCTTCTTCTGACAAACCAATTTCCATATAATAATCTAGGTAAAGACACATTTCTTGATGGTACCGTGTTTCTTTGAAGATTAATTATTAATTAATAATCATTGATTATCATTAGATGTCTATGTAGTTACATCAGTCACCTTAGAAATTGAATTAGTCATTGCCACTTAATACCACTGCCAAAAATGCTTCCCTGGCAGCTGATCTAGACACATTTCAGTTAGGCTGTATTTTGCTGTCATTCTATAGAACACTAAATAACTTGGCAATTGGATCCAAGGACTTTTATCTCACACACAGATCTGCCAAACACACAGTCATTAGCGGAAATCCTGCTAGTTGTGCTCACATAACCATTCTTTCAAGATGGAAATTTTCCTTTCTTTGTCATTTTTTATTTGCTTCACTCATAGATTTTTTTTTTAGCAAGTCTAGAGGAAAGGTATTCTAGAGGTGCAAGAACAGTATTATAGTGAATTTTGACACTTTCTTGTGTTGTAAGAATTTATTGTTTTGTAAAGTACTATCAACAAACATATGCAAGTGAACATACACATATTCAACATTTTCCCATAAATGTATTTACCTAAACACACAGAATATGTCAATACTTCCATGTAAACAACTTCTCTAATACTTCTATACATGCATGTATATACCATGATATATACTTATAGTCACATAAAATCTCATCTGTAAATTTATACATAAAGATCTTGTTGGACAAATACAAACAACTTTGATATTATCCCTATACTGATGTGCTACACAGGAGGAATTCATTGTTTATCAGAAGCAAATGAAGGCAAATAAATATAAGTCTAAAAGCGCAGCAATATTACCAAGAAACGATTATTGGACAAGCAATCCCCCAAACAATACCTGGAAGCTTTCCTCTAGTCAGACACTTTTTGATAAACATTTATAGAAAGAAGCCTACATTATTAGCTAGTACTGCCATACATCAGAGACATCTCAGAAACAGCCAACAGACTATTACAACCACACGGTGTCACTACAGCAGACAAACTAACTAAATCCCTCTAAACATCTTAAGTAAATTAAAAGATCCAATTGCCTAAGAAGGAAAAACAGGAATCATCTATAACATACAATGTAAGGACTGTAACAGCCACTATGTAAGACAAACAGGCAGAAGACTAGCAGAGTGCATGCACAGTTAGCTAGAAGACAAGAAAACAGCCTAATCTTTTAACACATGGACAGATTCAACCATAATTTCAACTGTGAAACTGTCAGCATCCTAGACTAAGCTAAATCCAAAAATATGAGAGAATTCCTCAAAATTTCGTATACAGATAAGACAGCCAACTGGCACATAGAGATAAATATTTATACATCATTCCCAAAGAAACAATAAAAAAGCTAAAAAGGAAACAAAAAAGACCAAAGCACTTCCTCATTAGCAATCAACACCTAGAAAAGAAGGAATTTATGCCACAATTAACACCAGGCAAACAATTAGACAGTAAATAAGACCCTAATAAAACAACTACCAACTCAGACAAGCAATCAAGCAATAAACTACAACCTAATCATTCTCTATGCTCAGTTGTTCAGTGACTAGTCATCTCGTGGTTGTACTATTGTAAAACACTCTATATGGGGCTATCCTTGAAGAGTATTTGGAGGCTGCAGCTGGTGCAGAGAGCAGTGGTGCAGACAGTTCTGGGGTCCCCAAGAATTGTCCCTGTAACAGCACTGCTCTGTGAGCTGCATTAATTGCTGGTCTGCTTCTCCTATCTTTTCATAGGGCTTAAAGACCTGGCTCTGCCAGATAGCCCAGTGGGGGGGAAGCACAGTAGTAGTGGTTGATTGAGTAAAACTTTCCCCCATTCTATCCCCACCCTCCCCCTGTATCCTTAGATTTTAATCTTTGCTTTAAATTTATATGTGTTGTAATGTAGATATCTTTTTATGATTGTAAGCCACCCAGAGCTACCTTATGATAAGATGGGCGGCCAATAACTTTTATAAATAAATTAAGAAATTACAAAAGAGAAAACAACACTCCTGCCAACACTGACTGGGCAAGCTACTGTATATAAATAGAGAGGGACAGGGAGTTAATTGATATGGAATAACCCTGTCCCCGGCAATCTAAAAATTATAGGGCTATCAGTGCATGGAGCATAGATGTGTGTGTGGACAAGAATGCCAACCTTGCTAGCAAGCAAAATGAAGCCTCTAATAGCGAGTGCCACACAAAGTGCACTAATCAAATAGGTGGTAAGACAATAGGGGAACTCAGGCACCACACAGGTTATGTAGAAAGGAAACACAGGGCCACTCACAAAGGACTCAGATGTTTATACACCAATGCACAGAGTATAAACAGCAAACAGGGTGAACTAGAAATTCAGGTTAATGAGGGCAGATACGATATTGTTGCCATTACGGAAACGTGGGATGAAACCCACACATGGAACACACAGCTAGAGGGATTTAAATTATTTAAAAGAAACAGACCAAATAAAAGAGGAGGTGGAGTTTCTCTCTATATAAGAAATAACTACATCTCTACAGAAATAGAGCACAACAATGATAAAAACTGTCTTGAATGCATTTGGGTCAATATAAAAGGGGGGGGGAATGACATTGCCATAGGTGTATATTACAGACCACCCAACCAAACAGAGGAAATAGATGAACTTTTTGCTAGTCAGCTAACTAAGGTATGTAGGAAGCACATCACAATAGTAATGGGGGACTTTAACTACCCTGACATCAACTGGGAGACAAACTCCGCACCAAGTGGAAGATCAAACAGGTTCCTGGCAAACCTAGCAGACAACTTTGTCTCCCAAAAAGTAAAGAAGGGAACTAGGGGATTAGCCATTTTGGATCTAATTCTCACTATCAGAGACGATAGAAGATATTGAAGCCATAGGAACCCTGGGAGGAAGTGATCATGCAATATTAGAATTCAACATTATAGAAGCACAAGCAATAGAACACAGTCAAACTAAAGTCTTGGACTTCAAGAGAGCTAATTTCAATAAACTTAGAGAGGGCTTGGGAAGGATTCCATGGATGAGAATCCTCAAAGGGAAAACAACTCAAGAAGCTTGGGAAATTTTGAAAAATGAGATGATAAAAGCACAGACTAGCACAATACCAACAAAGAGGAAAAACAACAGCTCTCAAAAGAAACCAGCATGGCTGCATAAAGAACTCTCTGACAAATTGAAAGATAAAAAGGACAAGTATAGAAAGTGGAAAGGGGAACATAACTAAGTCAGAATATCAGCAAATAGCCCGAGCCTGCAAAGATGAAGTGAAGAAAGCCAAGGCTCAAAATGAACTAAGGCTTGCGACCAAAGTCAAAAATAACAAAAAAAGCTTCTTTCAACATGTAAAAAACAAGAAAAAAGTGAAGGAAATGATTGGTCCATTAGTGGGTGGAAGTGGCAAGAAGGTGACAAGCAACAGGGAGAAAGCAGAACTATTTAACTCGTTTTTTGCATCTGTCTTTACACCAGTGGTTCTCAAACTGTGGGTCGGGACCCCATTTGGGGTCAAACGACCATTTCACGGGGGTCGCCAAACAATGCAGTCTGCCATTTTTTTCCCCTTTTCCTTAGCTGTGCTACTCCCTTTTATTCTATTGGCTTTTGAAAGCCAATAGAATAGACTCTCTTGAACAGAGTCTAATTCTATTGGCTTTCAAAAGCCAATAAAAATTGTCCAGGCTGTCTCTGCCCTGCTGAGCCTGCCAAAAGTCCCATTCTGCAAACGGTGCTGGACCAGTTGAGTAGTCCTCAACTTATGACCGGTTGGGGGTCGCGGCATTAAAAAGGTTGAGAGCCACTGCTTTACACAAAGGGAAAAAAACAGACCAACCTATCAAAAATAGTGCCATAAAAAACAAAATAGAAACACAAGTTAAGATAGGCAAGAAAATGGTAAGTGAGCACCTGTCCAGCCTAAATGAGTTCAAATCGCCAGGACCAGATGGATTACATCCCAAGGTTCTCAAGGAACTAGCAGATATGATATCAGAACCACTGAACTATATTTTTCAAAGATCCTGGAACACAGGGGAACTACCAGAGGACTGGAAAGAGCTGATGTAGTTCTCTTCTTCAAAAAAGGAAAAAAAATGGATCCAGGAAATTACAGACCTATCAGCGTGACCTCAATACCTGGGAAGATTCTGGAAAAGATAATCAAACAACGAATCAACAAACACCTAGAGGCAAACGAAGTCATTATTAAAAGCCAACATGGGTTTGTCAAAAATAGATCATGCCAGACAAATCTTACTGCATTCTTTGACCAAGTGACAAAATTAATGGATCAGAGGAATGCTGTGAACATAATTTACTTGGACTTCAGTAAGGCATTTGATAAAGTAGATCACAACCTACTACTTGATAAGATAGAAAAATGTGGGGTAGACAGAATCACCACCAGATGGATCCGTAGCTGGCTAACCAGCCGTACTCAGCGAGTGGTCCTCAATGGAACTGCATCTATATGGAGGGAAGTGTGTAGTGGGATGCCCCAGGGCTCTGTTCTGGGCCCAGTGCTCTTCAACATCTTCATCAACGATTTGGATGAAGGGATAGATGGGGAACTCATTAAATTTGCAGACGACACCAAGCTGTCAGGAATAGCCAACACTCCAGAAGACAGCCTTAAGATACAGAAGGATCTGGACAGACTTGAACACTGGGCACTAACTAACAAAATGAAATTCAATGGTGAAAAAAGCAAGGTTCTACATTTAGGCAAGAAAAACCAAATGCACAAGTACAGCATAGGTGGCATCATGCTCAATAGTAGTAACTGTGAGAGGTTCCTCGGAGTCTTAGTAGACAATCACCTAAATATGAGCCAGCAGTGTGCTGCAGCTGCCAAAAAGGCCAACACAGGCTGCATTAACAGTGGGATAGAATCAAGATCACGTGAAGTATTAATACCACTCTACAATGCCTTGGTAAGGCCACACTTGGAATACTGCATCCAGTTTTGGTCACCACGATGTAAAAAACATGTTGAGACTCTAAAAAGAGTACAGAGAAGAGCAACAAAGATGATTAGGGGACTGGAGGCTAAAACATATAAGGAACGGTTGCTAGAATTGGGTATGTCTAGTTTAACGAAGAGAAGGACAAGGGGGGACATGATAGCAGTATTCCAATATCTCAGGGGCTGCCATAAAGAAGAGGGAATTAAGCTATTTTCCAAAGCACCTGAAGGCAGGACAAGAAGCAACGGGTGGAAACTAATCAAGGAGAGAAGCAACCTAGAACTAAGGAGAAACTTCCTGACAGTGAGAACAATTAATCAGTGGAACAGCCTGCCTCCAGAAGCAGTAAATGCTCCAACACTGGAAGTTTTTAAGAGACTGGACAGCCATTTGTTCAAAATGGTATAGGATTTCCTGCCTAAGCAGGGGGTTGGACTAGATGACCTCCAAGGTCCCTTCCAACTTTACTACTATTACTATTACAAGAGCAAACCTTGCTTTCTTCTACCACAAACATGTTACCTACCATCCAGGTAAGAAAATGTCTGCAGGCAAACAACCAAGCTCAAAGAGCACTAAGGACTCCATGGTTTAATCTTCATCTACATATATTCGCCTTCAAGAAAAAGTAGCCAACCTACCAGAGAGCCTTCCTATACAGAGGCTGCTGTTGCAGAAGTGGGTTCCATTTTGAAAATGGTCAAATTTCTTTCAGCTGCCTATCAGTTGAAAGGAGTGTATGTATGTTTGTATGCATCAATTCCGTACCCATCCTAACTATAATGTTTCCCCCATATGGCACAAAGTCATGCAATTTAGAGGCATATTATAAATAGCCTCCCTTAAAGAAATTTAAAAATATTATAATAGAGCTACATTTAAATATTTTTCTAATTTAAATATTCTGATGTAATGTTCTTTTTATTTTATTTATTACCACAAATCTGAAATGATAATGCATTTGAAAATTACTTGGAATTTTTATATTTCAGATGAAACAGACAGGCAGTGATGGCTACAACCCCACCTCTGTAGCAGAATGGCTAGATTCTCTGGAACTGGGAGATTACATCAAGCCCTTCTTGATAAATGGCTATACATCAATGGACCTTGTAAAGAAAATTTGGGATATTGAATTAATTAATGTAAGTTGATCCATTTTTTCCTTTTTAAAACATCTCAGTTGTAATTCTAATGGATGAAAAATGTTTTACTTTTTCAACATAGTGTGGTTAATGACTTATCTGTGTTCAGAAAATGTTGAGGCTCAGCTATTCAGAACTGCTACTTCTACTTAAGCAGATATACTAGGCTATTCCTGCTAGCCCAGCTCTCCAATGTCACATTCTTTTTTCCCATACAATCATGTCCAATTCTTGAAGATTGCCTGAACAAGTCCTTGCACTTTTCTTAGCAAGAGTTTTCAGAAGTGGTTTGCCATCACCTCCTTCCTAGGGCTGAGAGAAACTGACTGGGCCAAGGTCACCCAGCTGGCTTACTTTTAGCTGCACACAAACATATTCACACTGAGACATTTTTCACTCTTGTCAACTAAAACTCTTTCTTGCTGCCACTTTACAACAGTATAAGAAAACAACAAACACAACTATAAAAGTATTATTTTCTTTTCATGATTATTTTAATAAGTGATTATTATATCAATTGTCTCACATCTTTATAAGCATTTTATTTCATATTACATAAGCATACATATGTAAATAATGAAACTTTACTTTGTATGCCCAATGATTTTACTCATAGATAAGAGCTGGTATCTCAGATAATATTCAGTTAAAAATTTAAATGTGGATTCCAAAACTAATTTCAGAGATACAATGGCAAAATTGTGTTGATATCAAACTATATCAAACAAAACAAAACAAAAACAAACTTACTGAGACTATCTGGATTTTAATTGGAATAATTTTGTTTTTTAATGGTAAATCATACAGATTGCGCTGGCCTTGTTTGAAAGTATTGAAATATTATTTTGTGTTTCTCTTTGGAAATTTTAGGGAAATCTTATTAAGAGTAACAGTTTATGGTATACTAGAAAAGCCTCTACCATTTCTATAAAAGACTTTCTGCTGAAACAAATGACTATTCAATTTTTGGGGACAATGTATTCAAATAAGAGGATTCCAGAATAATGCATTTTGCTCTTTTCTGCTGACCTAGAGAACTTCTTTTATGAAAAAAACTACTTTTATTATATTGAGAAAAAAATGTAACTACCTAAAGGAAAAAAGCAATCTTTTGTTCTACTGTCAAATATTTTACATATAAAAGAAGTAGGATCATAATAATGCAACCAACTGCTAAGGATTACAGAGGACAAGACAATTATACATATATGCATATTACTTCAAAACACATGTTTGTTATATTTTAAAGAAACTTTTTTGTGAATTTATGTGAACTTTTCTTCCTGAAAAAGAACTTCTTGGAAATTCAGCACAATTGGGGGTTTGCATCTAAGGCTATTCTTAAATGCTACATGGTGAAATGCAGTGAAAGAAACAGGGTATATCAGCTTTTCAACGTACATTAGAAGCAGCCAATTTGAAATTCTAGTACACTAATTTGGAATTAAGCTTGACTAGAGCCTTCCATATAAATAAACATAAGCAATAAAACAGATTAAAATATTTAGTCTCATCCCCTTGAATTTTTAGTGATACAGTTAACATTCTGGATCAGACATGTCAAACTCGCAATGTCACATGACATCGCATGACATATTGTAGCTTTTTTCCCATTGCCGGTAATGGGGTGGGCACGGTTTCCTGGTGACACATCTGGCCCGCAGGCCGGCAGTTTGACACCCCTGTTCTAGATCATGACATTGTATCATGACATTGTATCAGTTGAAGTTTACATTGCCAGTGGCTTGGCTTTTTCTTATAGTCCAGTCTGGAGCTAAGAGCTATCTCCAGACAGCTGGATCATATCTGGGAAGTGGGATTTGTGGGGAACAAAAACCCTATTGTTCTGTATGCATTTGTATTACATTGGATGTAGACCATTAGATTTTTTGTAAAAAAAATATTGTTGCTCTCTGTAGCATTCTGACCAGCTCTGTTTTATTATTTGTAGAATTTTCTGTGATTTGGTAGCATTGGTGGTATAGCTATATCTGTTTTTATTTTTACTGTTTATATTTTGCTGCCTGTTAGTCCAATTCTCATCATTCACTAGTTATTGTAGTCACTGAAATTATATGTTGCTGTTGTTGATTTGTTCAATGGAGCACTTGCACTAGATATATTATTTTTTTAATCAGCAGAATTGTTAAACAAAAAAAGACTATTGAACAGATTTGATTTTTGTAGTTGACCTATATACATGATAGATTCCCCCATTTCACAAATAAATACATTGCAATAGGAAGACATTTAAATGAATAATCGGGAAAAAAAACTAAGGGAGTTTAATATCATCTATTATTAATTACTAGGAGCTACAAACAATTCACTATATCTTTGCATCCTCTTCTGTTTCCTTTTTTTAAAATGTATTATACAGTATATTTTTAAAAAGTCAAGAATAACAGGTGAGTTTACAGGTATGCAACCAGTATTTTTTTCTTTCTCTTTCCTGGAAAAGTATAACACTGAAAATTATTCTTGGTTGTTGGCTGGCAGCAATATTAAGCTCTAGCAATCAAAATGGAGTATTTCAGATGCCTTACGTTTTCTGCTTGAATAACAATATCCTCATTCTAGCATACAGTTCCTGTTTGCCAGTTGTCTCCAAACAGAATATCTTTTTTTAGAAATATCCTAATGGAATATGTCATTGTTCCACAAATAAATTAATCTGATATACAGTACTGCCTAATACATTTTCATACATTTTGCTGTTTGGGTACTTTGAAGGTTGTCGCTCATTTAAGAAATGGCATGAAAAAAATTAGGCTGAATATAGAGTTTCTACTGCTTCTGAAGAAGCTAAAACAGCCTCCCTCTACAGCACACAATCCATCATACAACAAACTGGTAAAATAAATAGTCACTAAACGTTTTGTTGCCCTAGGCAACTATTTGTACTGCCTACAGCACATCTGAACATCTTTGAATATCTTTTTAACTCTTTCGTAGTAACATACTGTGTGGTTTTATCAAAGACAGCAATGGTGCCCACCTTATTGTAGATAACCATCCATATACCAGTTACCTGAGTTATTGACAGTTAACCTGAGGCAAATTTATTACTGTGATTTTTAAAAAAATCCATATTAATAAACATTGAAATCATAAATTAGGTTGTGATTTTAAACAGGTATTTTATATCAGAATCTAAAACAAAATTTGACTATCTCTGTAACTGAGGAGTATTGATTCTTGTCTAGGCATCAGATGCCTACAACAGAAGCAGCTGGAGCAGTTATAAAGGACGTTTTTCTTTCTCTCATTATTCTGTTTTTATTATAAAATTTGTCTCCTTACCCCCATGAGTAGATGTGTCTTTCTCAATCTCGGGACCTGTATAAAAGGCTTGGGAATGTAAGAGTTCTGGGCAGGATCTTGGCTATTCTTAGAATTGTACTCTTCTTGTTCCTGAGATCTGTTGGAGCCGCTCTTCCAGCTTTGGAGTCACAGCCTCATTGGGATCACTTTGGCCTATTATTTCCACATACTCTCTAGTTCCTCCTTCAGTCCTAGTACTTTTCTAGTTTCTCATAATCCTTCTTCTTGATAGTGCTGTCACTTGGCATTATTACATCTACCACCACTGCTGATTTCTGCTCCTTGTCTACTACCATAATGTCCAGTTCATTGGCCAGCACATGCCTGTCTGTCTGGATCTGGAAGTCCTACAGGATTTCAGTCCTGCATACAAACACAAACACACAATGCTATATAAAACATTATTTATGCATACTGCTTGATACCAACCAGAGTGGTATGTGTCTCTCTAGGTCTCTGTCTGTCTCAGAAGCAGTAGAAACTCAGAAAAGAAAAATTCCTTTCTTTAAGGAACATATCTATGTAATGTAGTTTAGAGAGTAATTATTAGGGGGCTGGAGGCTAAAACATATAAGGAATGGTTGCTGGAATTGTATATGTTTAGTTTAATGAAGAGAAGGACGAGGGGTGACATGATAGCAGCGTTCCAATATCTCAGGGGCTGCCACAAAGAAGAGGGAGTCAAGCTATTCTCCAAAGCGCCTGAAGGCAGGACAAGAAGCAATGGATGGAAACTAATCAAGGAGAGAAGCAACCTAGAACTAAGGAGAAACTTCCTGACAGTTAGAACAATTAACGAGTGGAACAACCTGCCTCCAGAAGCGGTGAATGCTCCAACACTGGACGTTTTTAAGAAGAGACTGACAGCCATTTGTCCGAAATAGTATAGGGTTTCCTGCCTGAGCAGGGGGTTGGACTAGATGACCTCCAAGGTCCCTTCCAACTTTATTATTAGTATTATTATTATTGAGGACCATTGCACAGTCAGCCAGATGTTCAGACTGGATTTGGCATTCTTGTCTACTTATCGAGTCCTTACCAAGGACCTGGTATAGGCAGATGTGGATGTTTGATGTTATTACAGATATCATTGCAGGGTGGAAGCAGTTCCTAGTAAGGCCGCCTTTTGCAATTGACTAATGGCGAATTTGTCAATGCCAATGGTGTTCAAGTGGTGCTCCAGTTGTTTTGGCACCCAAGGAACCTATTTCTATTGGTAATAATAATAATAATAGTAGTAGTAGTAGTAGTAGTAGTAGTAATAGTAGTAGTAGTAGTAGTAATAATAATAATAATAATAATAATAATAATAATAATAATAATAATATACTGAATAACTCAGGACATGGCTATCAAACATCAAAAACATCTGCCAGACTATCCCACCTCCTTTACATGGATGATCTGAAGCTGTATGGAAAAACATCATCTGAAATAGAATCGCTGCTTAACACTGTCCCTATATATAGCCAAGATATTGTTATGGAGTTTGGCTTGAACAAATGGGCCACACTTATTATCAAACAAGGAAAAGTAGTGAAAACTGAAGGAATCAAGATGCCCACGAAAATAACATTAAGAGTCTGGATGAGGAAGATTACTACAAATACTTGGGTATCCTTCAAGCTGACAACATCAAGCACACTGAAGTCAAGAAAAAGATTAGAGGTGAATAC